GTTGCTGTGATCTTGTTTTCATCTACCTGTGGGTGGGGAGGGAACCTACCTGTGGATTGACAAATGGGTATATGTGACAGACGCGTGGTAATACCTTTGGCCAGCAATTGAACAAACTAACGTAAAAGACCATCTTGCTCACGTTGCTTGTGAAAATTATTGCGGCAGAGTGCAGCGAGCGCAGTGTAGAGGTATGTTGTGCACCACGTCAAACAAAACTTCGATATAACAAAACAGCAGAGAATTCTGTTACTTCGTCAATCCGACGTCAACGCCGTGCGATTGCCTTCGTTATTCGGCAACAGCCAGCTAGCTGCCTAATTTCAAGTTTTTTTCGATCTCCTGCTTGTCGCGTTTGATATGCTCTTAAACGTGTCAAGTTTGGATGCCTTGGCTTTGTGCGTTACCTTCTCGGATCTTCGTTTATTCTCCTGATTTTTGTATCTATTCCGTATTGAGGGCCGGTACCCTGTGCATGGCAGGCGTCCACGTGCGTTGGGTCAATGGGGATATTAGGAGGTACCTTGCAGTATCCGAAACGGTTGCAATTAAGCAAGAAGAGCCAACAACCTTCACTCACCCTCTCCACGGTAACGTTGGTTCGCCGCCTCCAGTAGATGATGGCCAGGATTGCAAAGACCGAGCTCAAGAAGTCGAAAGCCGTGATGTAGTACGAAATGTCCAATTCGGCGTACTCCGTCCCGAACACCACCTGCCGATTATTGGAAGCACGTTCATGTTTCATCGCATTTTATTGAATATCCGTTGTCGGTATGGTAAGCGGTGGTAGCGTTGTCGTGACAATCGAATACCCCGGTCTTCTGGCTTCCTCGGACGCAAACATTCATCCAGAACGTCGACACGTTCAAATTTGATCTATTTGTTTCGATATACAGGACTAGGCATTGGAGAACAAGGGTGTAACCCACTGCTTTTGAGTTCTCGCTTCGTTTCGGCGAGATCATCGGGGGAAATCAGGCACCCTGACCGGGGATCACGCGTGATTACCGTATGGAGTATTCTTGTCGCTTCATGCTCTAGTCTACAGGCTTACGGTAAATTTACTATGTTTTGCAGAGTGAACAGGTGAAGTATACACTTGAGGAGTGAGGGATTTAGCGGCAGACAAACTAACCATTGCGTTGGCGGTGTATGGCTTCTCCCGGCGCTAGGAGTGAGACTGTTTCACCACCACCACAAATGACACCGCTACACACACTCGCACACACATGTCCAACTGATCTTGTCAGTGGTCAACGTGTGGGCTATCCAGCCGACCGCCTCCTCAACGGTTTCCCGCCAAATTTCGAGTTCCCAGACATAAAGGGGGGCTAAGGCAGCAGGGGACAAGCTGTTTTCAGTAGTGACTCTCAACAATCTCCACATCGGCGGATCTTCATGTCTGCAAGGACACGTTTGAGCTCGAACCTTACGGAAATGATGCCGACAGCCGAACGCGTGTTCGAGCTGCAAGCGTCATGCGTCCATATCTATTGTGAAAGCGGTCGCCAGTTGTTGCACTTGAGCACCTGGGAGGCGCCTGCTGTAGAGTTGCATCCCGAGGTGTATTCTGTGAGAGCGGCATCTTCTTCACATGCCGAACCCACGTTGCCAACCATTGTGAGCACCAGGCTCTCGAAGAAGGTGACCTGTCCCACGGGAAAGAATCGAGCGCACCGCAAAAGCATGGGGACGAGGTGTGTTGCCACGCTGGAACATCCAAGGTCACCCGGCCCGCAACATTACAACAGCAAGAGTCAAAGAAAGAAGGTCCTTTGAAGCGTGGCACCCGACTCCATGTCGAAAAAAGAGGCGGAACCGACAGCCTCATTTGACGCAGTCAGGGGACTGCCATCCTCCTAACAACAACTCGCACCACCACGGAGAGGTTGGTGTTCGAAATATCCACTTTTAGGTGTGTACGGTATCCCCGCGTACCGGCTGTTTTTCATGGCTGCTTGATTTGCATAGCACCATCGTGCTGGATAGATCATTTTTCTGGTACGGAGCATTTAACCCCTTGCGAATTGCCGTACCCCGAATGTAGCACCGCCGTAGAGAAGCAGTAATGAGGTTTGCGAGTGCTGGGCGCCTGAATAATAGTGTTCAGATCGGGCGTAGACCACTGTTTTGCAACAAGCGCTGACCAAGAATAGTTGAGAATGTAGCTCTACTCACCTCCGTGAAACCCTCTCCGGAGACGGCGAAGAGAAGAGGTGGAATGCTCAGTATTGTAAGCACAAAGTACGTTCCTGTCAAAAACTGTTGTCAAGGATGAGGCATGAATGCCGCGGCACAGAAACGACGAACGGCGGCGAGTGGATAGAGTCGGAAGGGATATTTGGTTTGGTGGAGGGCGAGGGCAATCGTATTCGAACGGTTGGAACGGACAATACGCCAAATGCAACGGCGTTTTGGCGGACGGAGGCATGCTACAGTAGTCCCCAGCCAATCCCCAGGAACATGTGCCGCAGAAGATCCCTGGAAATTTCCACCTTTCGGCATCAAAGCGCAGCAATCGAACCCAAACATTCATGTCTTTGCTCGGGTGATGTCGTGACGGCGCTGGCCTTGCCCCGTGGGTGGAAAGCGCAAAGCAGTGTTGCGGGGCAAGGCCGACATGTGTGCCAAACAGTAGCGTTCGTTCGTGGGCTGATTTAGCCAGAGGGTCGTTGTTTCCTCTGCCTTTGTGCTCGTGATTGGAAAGAGGCTCACGTGCTCTGTAAAGTTTCTGGCGGAGTCACCTTGAGGAATTGAAAGTACAGCGCGACGCCAATTCCCATGTCTTCGAGCTCGTGCAAACGCGTGTCCCAGATGCTGCTCTTCCCGGCCCTATAGATGGTCTGCGCGCGGTTTTCTTCCGCCTGGTGGCGGCCGAGCAAAACGTGGTACACGAAACACGCAAATAGTGGTCCGTTCTCTATTCCTTAACATAGATGCACCGAGTATCCATATTATCGAGGCTTTGAACAAACATGTTTTCGTCTAACTCTGCAGATGATCCCGATTGCCGTACAATTGGCCATCACACCACCTTGGTCTGTTCACTGCTACGACCTTGCCATGTATGAAAGCGCCACCGGTTGCGCAGGTCGGCATCATTGGCGGTGTAGACTGCTTTCCCTTTGAATATTTCCGTATCAGTTTTTATTCATTTGACGCCACGCCGGTCGCTCCGGTGGTGTAGTTGGTATCCTCGAAACCCTCTGGAGGTCAGGTCAGGGGTTCGAATCCCGGCGTAAGCGAGCTTTTCTTGCAAAGTGAGTTATTCTCTCGCTTCCACCCCTAGCCTAGTGGATAGCGCTAGTTCGTGTGTACACAGAGGGAATGGAGTGCTGAACTCTTCTCGCGAAATAATCGAACACACAGTACCGCAGGAGGGGAGGGTAGAGAGGGGCTCTTCTGTGTGACCACGGGTTGGAGTATACGGCACCAGTGCTGTGAGCGCTGAAAAAATAAATAAAATCAAATGACGAAATACCAATATCTCCTCACTCAGCGGTACGAGGCCGACCGAATCAGACACCTACCCGTTTGACAGTCGGTGGCACCCAGGGCGTATCTTCGAAGTCTTCCCCCAAACCCTCGTCCACAATCTCTCCTGCCATTGACATCATTGGCTTGCTCACTGCGTTTGAAAGCATGCGGGAGACAAACCAGATCGGGAATCATCGTTCACAGCATGGCTTGACTTGATCTCCCTCGCACGTATGCATGCATCCACACTAGTTGACAACATTCGGAAGTCATTTTGAACACACCGTTGCCGCACTCCGCGCAAAAGCTTTTGGAATCCACACCCTAATAGCTGCAGGACTGCCGGCACGATCATGACATCTCAGCTTTTTCTGTCGGGGCTACACCATGCATGTTTTTGAGAGGCAACTTGCATTCTTCGCCCTTCTCCGCCTCCTCTTCTTCATCATCCTCATCTTCGTTGATGACGTGCTTATTGACCGCCACCAACAACCCCCTGCCGCTGTCCTCCTCCTCCTCCGCCTCCAGATCCAAACCACCGCGCGAATTGCTCCCTTCCTCATCCGCAAAATCAGGATCGGCAGTCGCTACCACTTTCTTGTTTCGCCTCATGGTGGTGCTGATTTATCGCTTCTGTAACATGTGCGAGAAATCAATCCGGTGTATCCGAACCGCGTCCCTACGTGCGAGTCTTGAAATACTTGTTGGTCTCGAGCTGAGAGATAAAACGAGTGTGAAAAAAACGCAAGATGAGCGAATCTCTTGAAAATAAATCTGCGGTGGACAGATTCCTTGCAGTCATTCGGTGGGTGCTCGTCTATGTATTGCAGTGGTATCCATCTAACTTCACCTTTGCTGCGTTGGGGCCGTGTCTACTACTGTAGTTCGGGGAGACTCTCCCAAAGGAAAACATTGCGCAGAAAAGAGGTACACGAATCTCCAGAGACGCTTATCCTACAGAATTAGTTATGAGCATCGACCGCGCCAATCGGCTGGACGTTTGGGTGTGGAGTGTAAGGTGTTCAATGAAGCGGGGCTGATGAAGCGGTGCAAAATGTTGTTGCTGTTGCCTCGCCTGACGATAACGTGGCGGTGGTCTGTGGCAGAGAGGGCAGGATGCGGCATGTACCTAGGTAGGTGGTTGTCAATATGTGCTGAACCCACTTCGTCTACATTCAGCAGTATTTTTTTCTAGTATCAACATTACATGTTGACAATGCATCCCATCACCTGAGATGCACCTGAGATGCTTCTTGTGAAAATAACGTCCCTGCCGGGTCCGTTGCACATGTGATCAGTTGAGAGGGGCAGGAAGCACTTCGCTAAAGCTGCGAAGCCACCCCTTAACTCCCATTGGAAAGGTCTGCTATTGCGCAAAAGCTGGATCCGAATGGCCAGCTACTGCTGTGAAGCTCTGAAGAATGTATCGAGGGAGGATTTGAGTTTTTTTTATCAGGGGTTTCAGCGCGAACCGTTGGCGATTAGGCCGCCAACAATAAAAAGCTGCTACTGCTGACCTTCATGACGGATGCTCTTCAACGGGATTACGACATGGTTGCGACAAGTTGTCTCGGCAAACCGCTCTGAGGAACACCAGGGAAGTTGACAACAATGGCCACATTGGAGAGCTGACATTGGATGTATATCACTTGAACACTTTCCGTGCTCTACTGATGCTGATTACCAACACCAAACATACCAGGAAACCAGCTAACACGATAATACAAACTGAACGCTATGCCCTACCTACCATGCACCAGGTGTACCATTCTCTTCTACTGTAAGCATCACTGATACGCTACCCCAAAGGGTCAAATAAGTTTTTTGTTTTGGTAGTTGCTAAAAAAACGGCGTAAAACACCTACTGCCCGTGAAATTCAAAAATCTATAGGTTTGAAAAACGAGTGATGTAGACTAGAGACTGCTGTTGTAGCCTTCTTTCCATCTTCCATGATTTTACATCAATATTATTTATTTCTCCTTAAATTCCTAAAACCAGCAAGCTGTCAATAGACACTGCGCCGTGTCCCCTGTGAAGGTTACATCTTACAGTACACGACACTACGGAGGGATTCTCCCCGATATTTTGTCGTTGACCCAGTAGAGAACTACAGGGGATGTATGTATTGTAAAATAAAAGATATAGTAGCTGTCGCTAAAACGAGCGACAGCTGATAGATGTAACTGTCGTCAGACGTGTGCGTCCGCGGGAGGTGGAAGAGACCCTTTCTTCTTCTTTTTCTCTTTGCAATTCACGTCATTGGTTACCCGCGACGGCGCTGAAGACGCCCATGTCCGTGTACTTGACCCTCGTACTCTGTGCTAACTCCCCAAGTCTAACCTCTTCCTGCAGCCTAGCCTTCATCGTCGGCGAATTTCCAAGGTTACCAATCCTGTCGAAACTCATGGGCTCTACCATGAGGTCCACAAGTCTCTTCGCCCTACTGAGACAGACGAAAGTAAGCCCCGTGCAGGCCTCCTTGGGCCCCAAGTCAATGACGGCCTTGGCTAAAGTCTGCCCCTGGGACTTGTGCATCGTAATTGCCCAGCAGAGCCTAAGGGGCAGCTGCGTCCTGACCTGCGTCCCCCCGTCCTGCCAGGTGGTGTCGACGGGAGAAATAGGGACACAACGTCTATACCTCTCCTGAGACGACCATTCCCCCCCCGAGTACCCTTCAAACTTGACGACAACGTAAAGGGGGAGCTTCGGCGGGGGCGCATCATCTGCGCACACCAACTCG